AGCTTTATACACGAAAATATTGCCACATTCAAGTTTAATTCAAATTATATATCCTTTATCAAAATAGCATTAAAAAAGTGTAACAAAAATCCATATAAACGAAGACAAATAACGGGGAAACTAAAGCATAATTAAAAGAAACACAACTTCAGCACCTATAATCTATAGCGTTAGACCATCTTGTATTATTTGTGAAGTAGACACTGAATATTTGTCTATTAGGTCTTGGTACTTTTCGATGAACTTTTTGAGAAATAGGACGAGACGTTCTTAGACAAAACCCTGGCTCATTGGTTTTTTGCAAAGACATCGATGACGATTACACTGATAACTATAAATATTATAGTTAAAAAATGTGTAGTTCTAGTATATTGAAAAAAAAATAAAACGCTGGTGTCTTTTCATCAGCACAGTGAATCAAGATATAAAAGAGAAGAAAGTCAACACTACTCTTGTAAACAGTATAGAAATAAGTATGTATTATTAATGGTCGTTATGTGTTTTCATCTTCCTCGTGACCAATTATCCAGGAATTCGGTTTAAGTTAAACACTTGAGAAATGTATGCGTTGACAGTATAAACGATTTGTAAAAAGCTACATATTCAGATGTTTGATGATAAGTAAATGTATTTTAGTTGCTATTTTAAAAGACAGGCGAAAGGTACCAAAGGGACATTCAAACTCAAAGTCGGAAACAAACTGACAACGCTATGGCAAAAAAAAAAAACACGGAAAAACGACCAGCAGACAGTTTACAAAACACAACATAGAAAACTATATAAAGGCAACAGTAGTATACCGCTGTTCAATAGTCATAATTCGATTAAGCAAAAACAAATCCGGGTAACAAACTAAAGACTGAGCAACACGAACATTTTTATATGTTACATATGTAATTGCAAATGATTTCAAAGTTTAAAAATAGTTATTACTCATTTCAACTACGGATTATATAATGACAGAGTTTGAGATACTCTTTAGATGTAAGGACGTTAAGCAGCCATCAATCATCATCCTCATCTTTAGATGTAAAAGGTGAAATTCAAAATATTAATACTTTTGCCGACGTGTGATATGTTTTTTATGATGTCTGGAACTGGATTTATTTTCTCTGAGTCGTCGTATGTTAGTCATGATTATTATGAATGCCGTTTGTACGTCAGGTGATCATGATTTCGGCCACTTATCTTGGTTTCATGATGCCCGACAGACCTCTATTGATTTTCTGATCACTAAGGCCAAATGACAAGTCAACGAAACTATTGATAGACTGAACTTCTGATTTATTCCAATATTCCAAGCTTAAATGGGTCAATAACAGGTTAACTGTTGTTCTACCTAGAATTATTAAAAGAACCTAGTCATTGAGATTTCTTTGCAAATGAGAACTTGCTGCGGAAACTAATAGCTTACTAGTTACCATTATAGCATAAAGCAATGTTTAAGAAATGTATTTCTGCAAAGATCAGGGAAATGAAAGCTATTTAAAAATGCCCTAGTGGAAAACAGTTTTGTTTGTTTTTATAACAAATCCAAATTCTACATTCCTGTCCTTTGTTCTGAACAATTGAATAAATGCACACACCTCCATATCTATGAAAGCATCAGTGACAATTTCAGCAGAAACAAAAAGGGTATTATGCACACTGACGTAGCGTGTGTAGTAAAAGAATAATAAAAAATTCTATCATTGTGGTAATGTGACAAATGTGGTATTTATATTTTTGACAGTAATATTCTTATACAATTTGCAAAGGAACCTCAAATATCTTCGTCATCATCCGTTGTTGAAGATTTACAATGACCCATGCATGTATTTAATTATTTCTTTACAGTGACCAGCCATTTCCGCCAGACGGCCCTTTAATGATTTGCAGTTTTGGTTTTAAATGAGTCCTAATAATATAGATTTTCTGTTACATATAAAAAGAAGGTGATGGAATGATTGTCAACGAGATAACTATCGATAAAGACGAAATGATAAAGATTTGAAAAATAACAGTTCACTGGACGGACTTAAACAATGAGAAAACCCCATAATGTTTAGTAGGCTATATAAGGCCACGGGGTGACAACACGTGAAACAATTCAAAAGGAAAATCAAATGCCCAATTTACATAGCAATCATCAATGACAGCAACTAATGACAACCACTGGATTACATGCGCCTGGCTTAAAGCAAGCACATAAAGAATTTGTCAGGTTAAATCTGTTTGTTATCACTATTTTTATTGGCAGCATGTCTCCTCCCAGATAATCTGTTCATTTTGAATATTTTGCGAATGTGTTTAACAACACACACATATACTTATGAGTGTCACCATTGTTAAAAGAAAAACAAAACAAAAAACTACAAAATTTGGACAATTGGTTTAAATTTCGGGGTTCAATTATAACTTATTGAAAAGATTATTTAAGCAGTACATGTCGATTTTACAACGAAAATTTAATTTTGCAATTTGAATTCATTCTGCTTGAAGTTTTTTCAGAATTTATGTTTTCAAAAGAAATTTTCTGTTTATATAGTAGGCCCTTTACGATACAAAATCAGCGTGCCTCTTCAAAATCTCTCAGGGACATACAATGCATGATACATGTATCAGATGAGCAATACATGCTCCTAAGAGAGTCTAATATTCTGATCAGCAATTGAGTTATTTGATGTCACTTTTACTTCAATTAATACATAAATTCATACAGGAAATACTTTCATAAACCCATCCTTTGGCGTTTACATTTTAATCACGTAATGATTTTACATTTTGTCCGAATTTACATAAAGCTTACTTTATTGAGCGTAACCTTGCATTAACACAAAATTTACTTTAACAGCGTTACAGATACCGCCTACTTTTGAATATTTTAAACATATGTTCAAGTATTTATCAACGTTTTATCTGTAAACATGTTTCTCTTAAAAAAATATATAAGCCGGTATTTCTAACCCTACATTTCATTGTAATGTCCTATATTAAAAATACAAACCAATAACCCTATTTGATTTGATTTGAAAATCCATTCTAGATTTGAAAACTAGACAGAGAGCCAATATTGGTGTGCTTATAATGTTGTTCATGTTGATAACAGTCGTTGTCATAAGTAAGTGTTTGTAATTGATAATGTATGCGTGTTTGTCTTTTTTAATAACATAAGTATGCCTACATTGTAAATCCAGGAGTTAATCATAGCTGTAATAGGCTTTCCTCTCAGGTTGAGACATGTTAGATATATGTAAATAATGAAGGAGAAATATTTTCCCGCCAACAATCGAGAATCCTGCTGTTTATCGCTTGATCTGTGAAGACTTTGATGTTGATATTATTGTATGATGGCGTCCGGGTACGATCAATGGTTTCTTTGCTAGAAAAATCAAATCCGAGTCAACCAAACAGCATCTGCTGTCCTATTCGTTATATGGACAAATAGCCCTTGTTCATCTAAAACGAATTATGGTTCGGACTTCGCTTTGGGATTGGTTTCTGCCGTCGAATGCAATGTTTTTCTTCTCCGTAAACTTCAGATTGCACACACTTTAAAATGAAGCTTTAAACATCTAGTTATAATAAATCTCTTAAAATCCCAATCTCTCAAACGTTTCCGATTTCTCATCCTCCAAACGTGTCCGATAATTGTTATTTGCCAAAACGTGTCCATATAAGCGCTAATATGTCCTCTTCGACGTCAATCACGTTTACGGTAATTTTACTAAAGAGACACAAACAAGAGAAATAACTTGCATGAAGCATAAGCATCCCTGATGCCAGCCTTATAATTTATAATCGTTAGAAAACATGTATTATTTAAAGGTTACATTAAAATACGTTAAAAAAAGGATGCATATTCATTTTAAATGAGCATCATCTTTTTAACTGTCAACATTACCTTAAATTTATTTACAAAGAGGTAATAACCGACTAACAGAAAATAATTGATTAACTGATTGTTGCTTGCTTTACATTTTTAGGCAATTATTTCATACATATTTAGGACAAAAGATTGATTGATTGTTGGATGCTTAACGTTCAGTGGCAAATATTTCATACATGTTTAGGACGACAACATAGACAATAAATTCAATAGGTATGACACGTTTGTGTGTTTAAAAATATAGACACCATTTCAAGCGTTCATAAAAAGGAAACGTTTAGGCTTCAATTCGTTCGACACGTTTGGGGGATTGGACACGTTTGGGCGCTTTTAATAAAATGAACACGATTGGGCGTTCATAAAAAACACACGTTTCGGTGCCCTTTAGAAACCAAATATGTTTTTGCAGTTTAGTGACATCATATGGACACGTTTTGGGAATTGGACACGTTTGGGGGGATGGACACGTTTCTGAGTGTTACATATATATTGGACATTACACCTGTAGTGAAAACAAAGAAACTATCTACAGCCAGTGTAGTACAAATAGAACGCCTTACTCGATGCCTGCCATATCAACTGTATAGCTCGGTACAAGATGGTATGTGGATAGTAGTAAAATCTAGTGCAAATCGACATAGTTGAATTAGATTAGCGAATCCGTTATATTAACATGATTGCAGAACATTTATAAGGGATGGTGTGGCTGGGGGAATCAATCCTTTGAAATGTATAAGCAAATGTAAACTTTCTTAAATATAAACATAATCTTTAGCTGCAATTTAGTGACCCAAGTGATATTAACTGTATAATAAAGGATCTTACCCAAATTGTGTGCGGCTATAAGGACTTCACTGTAAATATATGCACAACAAATGTCGAATGGTGGAGGGAGTAACAGCGCTGTACATAAGAAGAACACCAATTTAACACATGAACACATGGTTCCTGTACAAAAAGATGTCAAATAGTGGAGGGAGTACCAGCACTGTTCATAAAGAGAGCACCTGTTCTGCATATGAAAATATGATTCCTTTACAAAAGGGGTTTAAAGATAAATTAGATTAGATTAGACTGTAGAGCTGGCATATGTTTTTTCTTCAAGCTTTAATTTGTTGGGGTTTTTTTTCAGCCGAAAGACTGGTGATGGCCGCAACAGTTGTAAGTAATACTAAGTATAGAATAAGAAAACCTACTTTCATTGTAACTTGTGTTGTTCTGCGCGAAAATGTTCTGTACTATTGATTGTGTTCTGATCTGTGCTGGTGATCGTTACAAATATGTGCACAAAGACGACACTTATGATTTTTATTACGTTTATCAGATGATATTTGCATTTAAACAGTTTAAACATGTCCTGATGTTTATATAAATAAGAAGATGTGGTATGAGTGCCAATGAGACAACTCTCCATCCAATTCACAATGTGTAAAAAGTAAACCATTATAGGTCAAAGTATGGCCTTCAACATGGAGCATTGGCTCACACCGAACAGCAAGCTATAAAGGGCCTCAAAATGACTAGTGTAAAACAATTCAAACAGGAAAACCAACGGTCTAATCTATATGAAAAACGAGAAACGAGAAACACTTATGAACCACATATACAAACGACAACCACTGAACAACAGGCTCCTGACTTAGGACAGGTGCATACGTTGTTGGTTTGTCTTGGATTTGCGCTAGTGGGTCAAGTTACGGCGTTGATGAATTTTGACAATACATAAATATTATTTCGAATCGAACATTGCAGAATCAAAATAATTGTGCAATTAATTATATTCAATCGGACTTGTGACACCTATTTGAACTTTGGACATCCATTTGACTGTATAATTAGCGTTTTCAAACCGGCGAAACTACATTTCACATTGAAAGGCAACATTTTCAGTTAAATATCAGATGAAACATATTTCATAAGAATACTTTTATTAAAGTATCAAATGCCCTTATAATTGTTATTTTCGTCAAAATAGGATGCTTCTCATGTAAACATATTTTGATAGATATTCAAATACACAAGTTTACGCGATATTTTTAACTAAATTGAACTTTTTCTCTTTTGACTTTGTCCTGTGTCTCGTCTCAATAAGATACTTTTTCTTGGTATTAGATCTTTCGATGCCAGAATTGCGATTATCCAATCAACGAACAATTGTTCTTTCTATTTGTATTTCTATTGATAGTTCTATTCCAAATGAATTTACTAGTTTATAGAGTACTTCTGATGCTATTAAATTCTCCTTTATATACTCATTGTCTCCAATAAATTTGACAGGATAAAATAACCGACCTAAATTTCCTTTTCATACATGATTGATAGAAGCTGACTCATGTCGGACAAAGCTGATAACAACCGTAGTTTTTCAACAATGAGCAAAACGCATACCGTATAATAAGCTATTAAAGGTCACGGTATGACAAAATTTGAAACAATTCATGCGAGAAAACAAACAGTGTGATTTATACTACATCAATGTACGAAAACCAAAAAGACAAATAGTAACCAACGACAACCAGTGGCAGACACATGATGTGTCGAGGTTAAACATATTCGTGAGTTTTCAACCCTCCCTTAACTTGAGACAGTAACAGTTGTGTAACAACACAACATACGAACAAGCTTAACATATAAAGCATGACATTTGTGCTTTAGACTAATTGATGCCAATCAGTACACATCTAACGGATTTCGCGGGGTTGAACATTTTTGTGAGCTTTCAACCCACTCCTAACTTGGGACATTGGTGTCAACAGGTTAAATCCCGCCACATTCTGTTTGCCTGTCCAAAGTCAGGAACCTGTAATTCCTTGATTGTCGTTTTTTGCTGCATATCATATTTTTTACTCGCTTGTTGTTTTGTGCATAAATCAGGCCGTTAGTTTTCTCGTTTGAATTCTTTGAATTTTACATTTCCATATGTCGAGGACTTTAATAGCTTGCAATCATTATGGGTTTTTTCTAACTGTTGAAGGGCGTACGATGACCAATAGTTGCTAACATCTTCGTCATTTAGTTTCTGGTGGGTAGCTGTCCCATTAGCAACCATACCACATCTTCTTATTTTAAAATAACACAACATAAGAAAAAGCTATCAAACAAGAATTGCTAATATCTTCGTCATTTAGTCTCTGGTTGATAGCTGTCTCATTGGCAATCATAAAACAACATAAGAACAAGCTAGCAAAACACAAATAAAAAATGACAAAAGACACAACTGACCGATCGAAGAGAAATTGCAGTTACTGAAAGCTCAATTTCAGCCAACAAATAAACCATGTTCATTAGACTAAAATGTTAATCAGTACACATCCGACGGATACAACACAACTTTGAAACTTGCGTTCACATTTTAATTTTTTGAGCATAACTTTAAAAAGTGTGCACAAAACACACAACTTTGAATCTTGTGCGCACATATGTTTAATTTTGAATGCGTTGATAATCAGATCATTCCATTTCTATAAGCATAAGGATGTATGATGTTGACTAACCATGATGGTTCTAAATATGAATTTCTGTGTAACTCTAAAGTAGAAAAGAACAGATATAGGCATCGGAGCTTACTTGTTGTTATTACATAAATTACTTCAAAAGTTTAATAATTTGACATATTTGATTTACGAAGCCCCATAAGTTCTAAAGAAGAAAAGTGTTTTTTTAAATGCGCACATGTTTAATCTTGTTCGCACAAGATTGAAATTTGCGTTATCAACTTTCAATCTTGTGTTCAGAACCTGAATCTTATATACGCAAAACAGTCAATCCCATGCATATACATAATTTTCTGGTAATTGTTGCTACCAATGCATTGTTCTTTAACATTTTTTGTTAGGGTAAAACGTTCTTATATGATCTATTATCTTTTTTGCCAATTTGTTTGATATTTTCTTATTTCTATATTATAGATTACTTAAAATGATAGCCTGAGGTTGCAATCCTCTACCTATTTCTATGTTTAATGTTTGTTATAGATACCATGAAATTCATAACCGGCTATCCGTTCATATATTATTTTACCAACAACAAAAACAAACGAAAAACCGATACCTGCCATATTTTGCTGTGTATCAACTGCAACAGAAGATAAATGCAGTATGAATATATTTGAATATATTTTCGACCCCCCCCCCCTTTTCCTTGCCTATGTTTTCTAGTTCTAATTAGTTTTCCGCAAAAAGAGAACGTATTGAATAAGACAAAACCCCTTTAGCACTAAATATACAAACAAAGTCGAACATCCCTGCATGTCCCTGAAACAATCTAATCGTTGTCCCTTTATTTTTGATAGATGTTACACACTATAACTAAAAATATGTGTTGCTTACGCGCGAAATAAACACGTTGATAATCATTTGGTTGAATAAAACAAAAAGGATCTAGAGTACAACAAAAACCAGAGCCCTTTCAGCTTTTTACCACTGAAACGTATCCAGAATACTAACGCCGTATCTGATTTATTGCCTAGAGTTTGTGTAAACTAATTGTTTGTTAATGTGTATCATAAATGCTTTAATCTCTCCATATAAAAGACTGTTCTACTGGACCCCCTTTCTTAAAGATTACATCACGATCCCATGTTTAGACCTGTAACGTGTAACGGGCGATCAATGGATCCGTATCTGAATAAATCAGGATTTCAAGTGTTCAACTCAATTTTTCATTACAACCAGTTGTCCTATTCAAAACAATCAACACATCCATAAATGGATTTACAACGAAAAATATATACACAGCACAATGCACATAAATCAAAATGCAAGGTGAAGTACCTCATTCACAATGCATAAACACACTGTATCATAACAGAATATATATACACAATGTCACTATGCAATCACTATGCAACATGTATCAGACCGATTTATTAACAATGTCACTAACAGATTACTATGCAACATGCATACAGCCCTAAATTTATTACACAATGTCACCAACAGATTACTTTGCAACATGCATCAAGTAAGTATCACACAAAACGTATGAACACAAAATCACATATATATAACTTCTATTTACAACGTCCACCAATATGTAGTATCACCTTGTTAGTCTGCAACTAACCACAATAACACAATGACACAATTACACATGCACAAATCCTTCAATGCACAAGGAATATATATATAAACACAGCTGAACTCACGCACTAACTATCCCTTTGAGTTCCCACACACTGAATATTATTCAAACTGGTAAGGTTTAACACAGTGCACTTTCACTAATACACTTCCACAATATCACACATAGTACAACTTGCAACACCAGCAAGTATACACCTTGTATTCTCACTAATACAAATCTATGAAGTATCCACACTTCCACATAGTACAACTTGCAACACCAGCAAGTATACACCTTGTATTCTCACTTATACAAATAACTTATTATATAAGTTTCACTTTATATCACAATCACTACTGCAATATCCACATATAAATCCGAACACTATTCATATATATCCTTTGGAATCACTTAATTCACTCTACTTACCAGTTGGAAAATAATCCCTGATGTTATCACTTCAACGGTCCACATAAAACTGACAGAGTTTCTCTGTCTTGGGCTGGTTTATATACTACCATCTGGATCAGTCCATTATACTTAAAGGGGTGAAAATCAAGACTATACCAACTTTAGGGGTGTTTTAAGTAACAGATGCTGCTCCAACTATGGAGAAACTTATATACATATAGAAACACAATAAATAGGAAAAGACAACTGGTATTTCACATCAAAATAAATGAACTATGACCTATTTCCGTTACACTACCCACGCCTCAAAAATCATGCGTCCCGCATGACTCCTTGAATACATCTGACATGCTGAGAAATCGTCTATCAAAGTGGTCATTTTTCATACCCAAACGCTACCATAGTGCAGGCACTATTTCTATTGGACATATATACATCAAGACAAAGCCTTTTCCCACTTTGCCACTTCACAATACCAAACAACTTTGGTTAGATTCTGACCATATATATCTTCAGTTATATATATAAATATCTTCTGACCACAACGTCAGGCACCATTACATCCGACAATAACGTCAGGCTACCCTTTTGTCCATCAGGTCTAAACTGATGACATCACAAGGCACAACCCGTAGATACAAAGTCTACCTATATGTCCAAATTCCAGTCAGCCATATCAAACATAT